TTAAAAGGAATTCTTCCATATTTTGATAAAATAAAAGTTGAATGTTAGTATAAAGCTTGCTAAGCAAAGTAAAAAAATAATGTAAAAGCGTAATAATTTCACTATATTGCTCTTTTAATATTTGTAATTTTCTCATTCACATCTCTTTGTCGAAACAGAAGAATATGCAATGCTTTTTACGTCAAAAATGTTGTGTTCGAGAATAAGGGCATGTAGGGTATGCATTAAAAATCTCGACTTTAGAAAGGTATTGGGGGTAATACATATATAGATTTCTCATCTATTTACTTAATACTATGACTCTTTTTCTTACTATAGTTTGAAAAAAGAAAATCTAACAGGATAGGCTATCTCCTGAAGGTCTTAACCGAGCGAGGGAAAAACAAATTTGAAATATTTTTTGGAAAGGATCGATTTATGTGTGAAATTATTTTATTACACAAACAGATAGTCGTACTTATACAGATAATTGGTAGTGTATCACGATTACATCATATATGCACTTCACAGGCTTTAACGAGGATCAGGAACATGTTTATTTATACTTTAGCATCTTAACAGCTGTCACACATGCCTTCATGCATTGGCTGACTGTAAGGCACAAGAAAATATGCAAAACGCTTATAGCTATTTTTTATTAATATTTTTGCCAATCACTTTGCTAAGAAAAAATATAATAAGTTATATGTATCAAATAAAGCAATGATCTACATTTCTCAAAATTAGTCAGTCGTCCAGTTAAACAATCATGATTTCTACCCTATTTCTTAATCTTAACATAGTACCTTTTGGTTGATTAAGATAGTTTATGGATAGTAGCAAGTTATTCTGTTTTGCATATCGAGACGAGATAAATATTTCGCTTGTATTGGTTTTGTAATTCGAGGATCGATAAGAAGTTGGTGAAGATATTTCTTGCTTGGCAGGTGAAATACAAAATGGCTTATCTTTACATTTCTGATCCCAATGATTTTCATCAAGTCTTCAGACTTTACTTCATAGCCCCATCTACGCCATCCATCATAATATACCTTTCTTGGCTCTAATTCGGTAATTTTTATCAATTTTCAGCATTTAAAGCAGATAGCCATCTGACTTTTATGAACACTAGGTTTACAATAGCCAAATTAATCTTCATATAGCTCATAGTTAACGTGGTATATTTTAGATTCTACTTGCCCGAATGAGATGAAAAGGCTATACACATGATATAAACTATATTCTCGCTTAGAAAGTATTTCTTGTAGAGAACCTCTTACACGATTAGCCCATTGCTGAGGTGTTTCATGAGGTTTAATAATAGACAAATAATCATATTGCTTTTCTATTTCAACCACTTTTTTAAACTGTTCGTTTAAACCTCCATTATAATAATTAGCAACATGTTCCATATTATATCCAGGACAAAGATTGACAGTTTTAGGTACAGCTTTATTATAAATATTATCTAAAATAATCTTAACCATTAATCCTATGTAATTATGGACAATAAATAAGACTTATAGCAATTTAGTGATATATCATTTTAGTGAATATTTAGCGTTATAACAGTTTGTAGCAAGTATATTATAATAAAATATCAGATTCATTTTTATTCGATTACAAGCATGTAGATTGGATGATCTCTAAAAAAATTTGAGATCCTTAGACTTATGAGTTACGGATCAGCCAATCAGATTTTCTGTAACAACTAAGTACTGTCTGGATGCGGTGTCCAAGCTCGTTAGAAAAATAGACTAATTACATAGCATAGTATATTATCAAACTAAGATTTCAATAATTACATAATCAGTTTCTTCCTTAGTTAGATAATGCAGTAAATAATATAACTTTAGAGTAAGTTGAGAAGGCAGATATGAAAAGTTAATCCGAATTAAAAATCACATGTGCATTTTGTTTTAAAATGCCAATCACTTAGTCTTTGAAAACTCACGTTAAAATGATAAAGCCAAACAATTGATTAATATACATATTAGAAAAAGTAGGTATTCAGACATAATATAAGCAAAAAGCATAGAAAAAGAAAGAAAAAAAATAATAGCAAAGGATGAATCTAAATATCTAGATCTAAAAGAAATATTAAAATATAATATTCTAAGTTTCAAAAGATAAAAACAAAGTTTAACTGCACAGAAAAAGAATTCTGAGAAAAGCAAAGCAGATAGCAATAAAATGCACCCTAAGAAATTACAGATTATTACTTTTTTTAGAAGTCTACCACGGTTTACAAATATGATTGTATTTACTATGAGTGATAGACTTGACTGTATCATCATCATCATCATCGAAGACATCATTGAAATCGTTATGTGATGTTTCTATATTTTCTATGGTTTTGCATGTTTTCACATACATATTCTACGCAATATATTATAATAGATTAGTGATGTAAAATTTAAAATATTATTATAGATTATGTTAATGATTGGGTTTATGTAAATTTGAAAACCGTTACCATTGGTAATGATCAAAGTCATGTGACTGGAATTTCTGAACATTGTCCTGGAAAAAAATTTTTTGATGACAAAACGAATTCATAAGCTCACCATAACTAATTTAATAACGCCAATACATGTCTTTAACTTTCCAACACTCTTGAGTTTTGTCAGTAACTCAAATTTAGTCCAGGTAAAATAACATAAAAACCTTCCATCAGGCCTTAAATCAATAATTATCCGTTTGTTCCAGCAAATTGTATGAAAGGAACTCAGATATCCTTGACCTGATTGTTATCAAAATTGTATTCTAATAAACCATTCAATATAGATTGGTTTATTCTTGCTGAACGACATCGATCACAAATCATTTTTGTTGCTGTAGCCTTGACAGAAAACTCACATTCTCCCATGTCGACTCCTGATATTGTCATAAAACGAACGTCACATTTGTGCTTATTAATATGATCTGCACTCCTACTTAAAGGGCAAAATGATTCGCCTCTTGAATGCATAAATTATAAATTATGACTTGTGAAATGGCTATATCATTTTGAGTATAACACAAACAATATTATACCAACCATCTTAGATAAATTGTGAGGCTCTTATTGAGCCCTTCGACAATGTATGCATAAGCTTTTAAGATTACGTCTACTTCTGTATGTGCACCTTTTGTAGTAAAATCTAAAATATCTTCTTGGTCTTTGCTCTTGTAAATGCTATATATGTTGAATAGTGAGAATAAGAATCACGAAAAATAATATCTTAGATAGCAATCAAATAACTCACAAATCTTCATATATTTTACTTATTTTATATAAGTAACTATCTTCAATTGAACTTGAATGGATTTCTGTACAGTATTTATATGCCTGGCTTATGTGTCCATTATATACTATCTACATAGAGTAATAAATTCATAAGTATGTGCATCCATATAGACAAATAAGATAATTTAAGAAAAATAAAACTCATACATCCTCGATCTTTAGAACAAATGAACTCTCCTCACCTGTTATTTCGGGAACTCGCAACATAGATTTGTAATCTTTCTTAATGAACTTTTTGTCGTTTTCTCAAAACCACTTTTTCATGTGAGCAGATAAATCAATTATCCTTAAAGCACCATATCGCAATATAGCCTTTTTGATTGCTGTAAGTCTTTTCTTATTTTTTACTGTGCGTGCGTTTTCAAATATTTTTTGGAGTAGATATTACCAACGTTTTTTCCCGAAGGCAAAGTCCAAACTTTTGAGCCGGAAAGGGCAAAGCAAGCGAGTCTTCTGGAGGCAAAGCTTCTTCATCTTCGTCGCTATAATCATTATAATTTTGATCTGTTTCATTCAAAGGAATCTCATCACCAGTTTTATCACCTTTATCCGTTTGTGCATAATTTAGAAGAGATGGCTTCGTAATTTTGGTACCGTCGGGTAATATATCACCCTAAAAGAAAATAATTCATTTTTTGTAAATGATGTTTTTGTTAACCAAAAACTAAGTTATATACTGACTTTTTTTCCTGAAGATTTCTTTTTCTGTAATTTAGGCCGTTCATAAAAATACACTCATTTTGTATGTTTGTATTCCTTATTATTCAAAGGATTAAACGTAATTAGCCTCACTGATTCATAACTTTTAGCAATAAAAATGCTTATCTGCACCTCTCCCTGTTCTGACTCTTCATTTCTGATCTGTATGCAGAAAGAAAAGGTTAGTAAAAATTTTCTGTTCTACAGATTGTGTTTTGTACTAACCTTTTTAGTTCTCTTGAAAGAAACTGGTATTGTGCTATCTAAAGTGTGTTTGGACGTAGATGATGCATTAATGGATAAAGAGTTTGAGAATCCTTCTGACGAGAGATCTTTAATATTATATTTTCCATCATCATTTAAAAGATGAAGGCTTCCAAGAATGTGAGTGCGTTTCACTTCCAACTATTTTACATATTGATCAAGATCAATAAGAATGAAAGGGCAACCTTCATCCGTTTATGAATCACACCCTCCCAATAGGTCTGTAACCCTTTGTCTGAATGTTCAAGTTCCACCTGTTGTAGGAAAGGCAATAATGAAAAGTAAAAGTTAACGAAAATAATACAATGGTGAATGCAGATTCGCAATGGTGAAGCTCAGGATGCAGACTGATACTCTTGAGTCAGAACGCAGACTGATCAAGAGTGTTACCACTATCACTTGGACCAGGATGCAGACTGATACTCCTGATCAGGACGTAGACTGATCAGGAGCTCCCTTGATTAAACAAAAGAAAAAGATAAAAAGATACCTTGACCTTTAAATTCTCAAGTTCTTCTGGTCTGAGGTCCTCTGCTTTTTTTAGAAACCTGCGTGTCCAGGTGCTGTCGAGTCCAATCCACTCATCTGAAAACGGAGGTGAAGATACAATCACATAATAGTAAAGGATTAAAAACTCGTAATACAACCAACTTGTGTTCTCGTTCATATAATCAAGAAGAGCTGAAAAGTCATAAGTTTAGAAGAAAAAATTTGGATAGCAGATTGAGTCACAGGACTTATCAAAGTAACCAGAGTAATACTCAAGCGAAGACATGTTTTGCAAAACTAAACAAGTTTTTTTTCAAAAACGCATAATTATTATAAATAACTTGATCACGTGCCATAAATCAGATTATCATTTATCATACTGTTGTATAGATCATTTTCTGAAGAAACACTTTTTTCAATGAAAAAAAATTTTAATGCAATAATGCAATAAATCTCGAACACATTACATATAAAAGAAAATATGATTTGTTTTTTTTGATATATTGCAAAACTATATTAATTTTTCAGTAAAAAAAGTGGAGATAGCAAACGAAATATATGATGCTATCAAAGAGGGAGGGAATACGCAGATTCTAGGCTATTTAGCGAGTTTCAGCATCAAATTATTTCTTTGCTCTCTTACATTTTTTACAAAAAGTATAACTAATTTGTTTATACTAATTACTTGGTTCTTATTCTCACAGCCTTTTACTATATTAGATTTCTGAAATAAATTATCTCACCCATATTTACATAAATTTTGACTATCTACTGTATATCTCTCCCAAACACACAGACTATATGAAATATTATTCCTCAAAAGAGAACTTCTCTGAGATTAAGAAATTTCGAATCTATAGTATAATTACGGAAGTATTAGCAACTAAGGTAAAAAAAATATTACAATAATGATTTATACTTACTATCACGATTCATTTTCACATAATTCCATTCCGCCTTATACACATTGCTTAATTTTTCTGCATTATCTCTGGTACAATACTGCGTAAAGCTTTAAGAGTTCGGCACATGAAAGATGCTTATATAAGATAAAATTTTTGATGTACTACGCCAGACTTTTGCTGTGCCGTTGCATGTAATGAGATTCATGTGAGTAATTTCACTGCATCTATTGTACGCGTGATGATAATCAGTGATTTTCTCAGTGAAGATCAAAATGCCTATATATAACAAGAAGAGCAATATGTCCGAAATTTTCATGGACATCTGTAGAGTTAGAAAAATCGATTAGCACCATGATGATGTCTTTATAGAATCAAATTCAACATACCTTTTTTCTCTTATTCTTTGGAAAATAAATTGATTAATGATATAATGGTAAGCTTATATTTTGTTTGATTTCTTTTTGCTTTACTTGCATAAGGCGGATAAAAGGATTCACTAACTAAGACCTTATCTTTTTATATGATTTTTAGTGTATTTAAGGATCAATTTTTTGGAATAAATTTTTGGGGAAAATTACATTAATATGATCATATCGCGAAAATCTGATCAACAGCCTCTCCTTAATTTAATAATAAAAGAATTTAATGCTATCTCGTATATAAAAGATCATCAAGGGGCTATACATAATTTTGAGAATATGCGAGAAAGTTTAAGAATAAATTATTTTGCGCAATTACTTATTCTCGTGATACATGTGACGTTTACTATATTAATATTACTGTGCATTTATCGAGTTCTAGATCAATGATTTCGTTATAATAAAACTTGACCGAAAAATATTAGCATATATGCTTTTCACAACCCCATAACATATAGGCATACTTGGGGGTTCTGATGCAGATTTCAAAATAGACCTCCAAACCCGCCTACGAATCAAAATTTGTTATATGATTTCCAATATTAAATTCAAGTCTCTAGCGTCTTTTGACTCAAATATAGATAATGTTATCGAACTTGGCTATGAATTAGCCTGTCTGATACCAGGAAGTATACTGATTGATATAACCATTCTAGCCTGATTTTAATCC